TTTTAAACATTTCCATTAGCCTTGTTTAGGATTTTAGCTAAACATGGAAGGGATTTCCTTGTTGTTTCCCATACCCTTGCTCCCACAACACTTTTGCTGAAAGTCAAGTTCATTTCACATTTTTGCTAAAGTTCTACAACCAACAAAATACATTTTGTTTTCACCAATGAAACACTTTCAGCTACACAGGTTTTCAGAAAGTGCTTTTGTGTTTTCTAGACGTCAGTAAGCCTTGCAGTAAATACAACTGTAAAATCAGTTCAAGTTAGGGCTGCAGCCTACAAACCAATAACTGTAATAAGAGGACCATCTAGTGGTGACAACCACAATTCACACTGCTATAAAGACAAATGCAGGCCCTTCATGTATGCAAGCCACTGGACAGCTTCTCAGTCTCTGGCTTTTTTATTCCACAACTTTAATTATTTCTTTAACTTAGATTTCAGCCTTCTATGATGAGGCTAAATGAATGAGTTTGTTGCTTTCCTTCATCTGTTCCTGTTACGAGAACATCTATGCCAATTCTTCCACATATGAAAGTTGTTCATAGCATCATATTAATCTGAAGACAACAGAAAGCACAAAGCTGCTAGCAACTAGGCTACAAAACAAGTTTGTTTGCCTAACAATCCTCTCCTCAGAGAAATCTACAATTTCTCTTTATACAAGGGACAAAAAAAATTACGAGTCAAGAAATTACAGCTGTACTTGGTATGTTTTACATCTCCATCACATTTCAGCTAAATACATGTGCCACAAGCTAGCAGGGACAGGAGAGCAAAAATTTACACTGGAGGAAGCTGATGGAGAATGTGGTACACACCTAGTGGTGTTTGTTTCTGTATCTCAACTATGTCAAACAACTGCAGAGACATTCTTCTCCAGCTACCACAGTAACAGAAGCTGTGAGAAATCCTCCTCCCTAACGAAGCTGCAGAGAATAGGCACAGAGAGAGGCTTACGTAAGCACACATCTAAACCGCTGAAGGAAGCTTAGTGGAGCTCTGTAACTAAACTGAAACATAAAACAGTAGTAGAGCATTCGCTTCTGTTAGCTACTCTGCTTAATTTCTGAAAAGCTCTGATAGAACTCTAGGTCAACCAATACTGAGAGAAAAATTTCAGACAGGTGTCCTAAAGATACTAGGCTGCTTTGTAAATTAGAGAACCAGATTCTACTTCAATGCAATCTAAACCAAATTTTAATATGAAAACTGAAGGTTTGGTCTGAACAAATCTCTGCCTCTTTAGCACCTCTAAGGATCTAAAGGGAACTGCAGGATCTTCAGCCACTCAAAAAGTAAAAGAACTGCTGGATTGAAAAAAAGTTCCCTTCTGTACCTTTATGCACACCTTACTGCCTACTTATGGATTTATTCCCCAATTTTACAGCAGTCATCCAGGCTCAGCCTGTTTTATGCTTTATACATTTCTTGCTCCCCTACTGGTCCCATCCCACACTGTGGAAGGTTCTTGAGGACTAGAGAGCGTGCTCAACCTCTTTCCCCACAAGGTTGTCTAGAAAGCAAGAGGCAGTAGTAAGCCTCAGCCACCCTCTTACCTGTTCAACCTTCCTTTTTCAAAAGGAATTGAGACTTTTCCTTTTTCCAGAGGAAAAAGCAGAAGCCACCATAGAGGCCAAAGGAGCTGTAGGATGGGAAATGGAAACTATGTGCTGGCTTTACATCCCAATTTTCAAAATTGACTACGCGACCTTACAGCATCAAGGGACTAACAGAGCACTTGGCATCTCAGCTAAAGCCAGAGCTGTAGTGGTCAACTAGACAGCACAGACTGCATCTGCACACCAGTAGAAATCACATTATGAGTTACTAGAGGAGAAATGCCAGGAGCCAAGCACTTTATCTGAGGTAAAAGTAACCGGTTGTGAACTGATCATTTTCAGCATTATCCACTAAATTGACAGGCAACTGTTTGGAAGCAGTCCAACACAAAAGAAACAGTGCTAATTAGAAAGCAAGTAACTGTTCATCTGACACTGAGTGTGTCAGAAGACCAGGACAGTCTAGCGTACACAAACTCAATCATATTCTTCTTTACCAGTGTTAACTATTATGGCTGTGTAGAATAATTTTCTTTACCGCTGAAGGTCTAGGATTAAAGCTCAATGAAAAAAGCATAATCTTCAGAAAGAGAAATCTGAGCAAGACTGAGCAATTCCATAGATCAAGTCCTCTGTGTCAACTCCTACAGCATTCTTCACTTCCTCAGATGAAAGATCATGTTCCTCGGGGACTCACATTCACCCTCCTCCTCAACACTCCCACAGCATGCTTTCCCTCTACACATGCCTTCCTCCTCCTGTTCAACTATCATTCTCCTGTGTCTGCTTCAGTAGCTCTGTAAACATGACCTCTGAAGTGCCTCTTTCACCTTCAGATTGTTTCAAGGATGCTTGTGTATAGCAGTAAGTCACATATTGTTCAGAACAGTAACAGAAGGCTATAAATACAAAAACTCTCCCTGTGTTTTGTTAGTCCACTTCTAGAGCATGGTGTAGAGGTCAGACTGTTAGCAAAGCAAGCTCAACTGCTGCGTGCTTACAGCACTGACTCCATCATGAATCAGCCTCTGCTGAAGGCAAGAAAGACTATTAGCAGATACCTGGTAAGAATTCCAGAGAAGCCTGTGGAAAGGAGATAGTAAAAAAAAAAAATAAATCTACAGACTGGCTGGCTCTCAGTTGCAATCCAGAACATCTGCCAAAGACACACACAGATAGTATGGCAGGCCAGACCAGGACAGGCATCTGCTTACTAAAATCAAGAACACGCAATAGACCTCCTTTCTGGTTCACTCTGGCTGGTCTTGCAGGATGAAAGGAAAACCACAATATTGTCATTCATAAGCTGCAAGGAGAAAACAGGGTATTGAAGATGATACTTAAAAAACCTGAAATAGAATCACTGCAAAAGACTAGGGGCAAGTTTAAAAGCACATCCTTGACAAGAAATCTAATAAGTCTAGGAAAGCCACATAAAAAGGACACTCAGTCCAGGAAATCTACCAAAAAAGAACATGCTTTCATTTCTCCCAGAAGAACTTTCTCCAGTGTCCATTTTGCCTATTTCTCTGATGCCAACTCAGTAAACACACTAATGAGAACTGGCACATGGGGAAGAAAAAAGGAAAAGGAACACAGCTTGACGTGGTAGGACAGAGGCACTACAAGAAAACAAGTAAAGTTTGGAGAACTTAGAGTTCCCTCTGGTGTGCATCCTACTCTGTAAGGACTGGCCCTCATTTTGACTGTCCTAGGTGTTGAAAAGTGTTTGGTTGGCTGAGCATGTTCCAAGAGACCTTCTGTCTCCCTAGCTTACAAAGACATTTTCTTCATTACATCACTTGCATCTCCCACATTTCATGATAAGATATATGAGAGACAGGTCTGGCATCAAGACTGATCTGGCAGTCAGGGCCCTATTTGCATCTCCACGCTATACCAACATGCATGTTAAAAATGCAGAACTGCATGGTAGTAGAATCATAGAATCATGGCATGTTAGGGGTTGGGAGACACCTCTAGAGATCTAGTCCAATCCCCCTGCCAGAGCAGGATCACCTAGGGCAGCCACACAGGAACGCGTTCAGATGGGTTTTGAAAGTCTCCAGAGAAGGAGACTCCACAACCTCCCTGGGCAGCCTGTGCCAGTGCTCTGTCACCCTCACAGTGAAGAACTTTCTCCTCTTGCAGAGGTGGAACTTCCTATGTTCCAAATCAAACCCATTATTTCTTCTTCTATTGCTGGGCACCACTGAGAAGAAATTGTCTCCTTCCTCTTGACACCTACCCTCAGATATTTGGATGCATTAATAAGGTCCCCACAGGTACATAGGTATTTGCTTTAGTCTTCCTGAATCATTCCAGCCGCTCACAACTCAGTTCACAAGTCCCTCAATGCATCTGTTACTGCAATTACACTACAGTATGTCAGGAAGTACAGTATTCCTTCATCTCAGGCAACTCCGTATTGTCTTTCTGTCTGTCATGCTCATGCCCTATATACTGACTCCTCATGATACTCATGCCATAGACACCTTCTCACTCCCATGAGCTGACCGTTTTTCCCATCATGGCTGTGCAAAATTAGTAGGAGAAAATTCCTTCAATCACTATGAACTTTGGTGAGTTGAAATTAAGCTCAAGGGCAAGCTTGAGTTTTGGGTAAGACATTGTAGAATTATTAATAGAAGATTATTACAGGCACAGACTGAGGGATTGTCTGCATATATTTGCCATGTTGACTCAGAATACTTTCTGTCTTGGTAAAGTGACACCATTCTGCCAATAGTTTAGGGACAGGACACTACTTGCATAGATAACTATCACCACTCCCAATATTGTTTGCAAACTGTCATATCAAGCAAACCTAAATGCTTCCAGATTGGAATACAAAAGCATTCATAATTGTGTCATAAGTTCGAAAAAGACTGATACCTATTAAATTCATTCAAAACTACCAACATGCCATAAATACTATTTTTCACTCTTATGTTTCTCCAAACAAAGTTTAAATATTTTTTTAAGTCTGCATTACATATCTTTAAAGCCTTTTGATGTTTTCATTTCAAAGAATGAAGATGTTAACTTTTTTCTTTGTCCAGGATAAGCAGTTGCAGATAAGCGAAACAGAATTAAATCACAGAAGAAATTTTTTTTAGATATTATTTTACAATGGAAGAGTCAGGGTTTTTGGAATGTTTTTTAAAGTCTTTTAAAACCGTGTAAATTTCATACAGAGTTCAAGAGGTGAGGAAACAACTATTCTGCATTTAATACTCTTTGCTTTATTTTAACATCAGTTATTTTATATATGCATCAGATTAAAAGTACCATCATTTATAGGAAGACGCTTTCCTCTAGACAGCAGCATCAACTTGCCTTTCAAAATCTGAGTTTATCCTCAAATATTCACAGTTAAAACAACTAATAACACAGATAATAATATGCAACAAATGATACACTACAAAGAGCTTACCCTTTACACCACCAAATGGACCATAAGTCATATTGCAAGCAGTTCTCTGAAGATTGTGCTCATACATCAGTTTAATCTGATACTGGTTCCCATGCTCTACATTTCCCAGTGTTCCTACAAAAAAAACAAAGGATACATATTTACATCTTTGATCCACACAATGTGGAAGAGGTAAAGGAGTACCAGTTTAAACAACCTGAAAGAACTACAACTCACTCCTAGTGAGACATGAAGGCTTATGCTGCTGCCTTCTTAAAAAAAACACCAAGCTACAAAACACCTAAAGGCTAGAACCAGAAATGTCTCATTATACTAAATATGGTATAAATGCTTAGCAAGAGGCTGAAATTTTATTACTTAAGTGTGTTTTTCCTCATGTTAGGTGCACCTCTAAGATGAGAAAAAGCCTGCTCAAAGGGGAGTTCCTATGATTCTCTAGTTACTCAGTGAATACACTATATCCACATCCAACCTCACCTGTAATAATCTGTCTCAAATTAAGCTGTAGCTAGTCATTAACAAAGCTATGTTTAGGGCACATTTACCACTGGCCTTCACTCCGTCTGAAATTCAATGCACTGATCAACAACGCAAAGATAAGAGACAAACAAACGGTTACAAAAATAATTTTCTGATATACATCACATTCTCTGAAAAGGTGTGCATGAACTTTAATTTCCTTAATTCCTTTTGGAAAGTAGCAGAAATTCAAAAAAATCCTTCCAAAGAAATTGATGTTAAAGCTCCCCTTTCAATAACTCTAAGTCTTTCCTGCACCCTATGAAGAAAACAAAGTTCTTCGTCATGCAGGGCAACACTTAAGGACTAATATTAGCAAGCAAAAAAACCAAAATAAAACACAAAACCCACAAACTTTGAGAACAGTCATGTCAGCAGGGAAAAAGATATTTTGAGTGAATGTTATCTAAGCTAAATCCTACCACAGCTTTAAGTATACACAGATTTTTCCAGCACTATCTTAAACAACATGCTTTGAAAGATCAGTAGCTTATGGTAAGCTTTTAGGCAATTTCTTGCACTAAAATCCAATATAGCTTTTAAGCAATTACCCCTAAACCATGGCCACACTAAGGAAAGGTTTGCACAGGACATGAAGAAAAAAGCCCTGGCTGGATGAATAACTAGCTAAGCAGCAAGATCAGAGGAAAAACAAGTTAGAAAGTAGTCTGGGTATATGGACTGTAATACAATATCCAGGCCATACTTCAACCAGACTTTTCATATTGGCTGTAATACAATATTTAGGCCATACTTCAGTCAGCATTAAAGGGTGCTTTCATTTGTCAAGGAAAACCAGCATAGTTATTTTATTATGAATAATAGTTATGGCAACATGTATAAAGCAAGTAAATATACCACTTTATAAAAGTGTAATTTGGTACAGAAGCATGCAAAAGTAATCTCTATTGCTCAAAGGAGCTTGTTCGAAAGTACAGAAATTACCTTTACAGCACGAATGTTTACAAATTATTGTGAGAAGTCTATTAAAGGATTATGAAACTTTCCTTTTATTATTACTTAAATGCTTAAGCCATGTAGACCATACTTAAATGCTTAAGCCATGTTGACCAAACAGCAAATTATAACCAGAAAAGAACTGTAAACTAACTTACTGTTGCATGCCATTAATAGAAATTTTAAAATAAATTGTTTTAATAACTATTGTACTGGTAGCTACAATCCTATGACATAAGCACTATTGCAGAGAAGGGAAAGTACGAAAACTGCGGTGCATCTCAAAGTACCACCGCTCACAGATCAGTTTTACAGGTGTCTCCAGAGAAATTAACTAGAATGCAAACAGAATCTGGAAAGAGAGCATGTGTTTGTAACCTATCTGCCTACAAGGCTGTGAAACCAAGTTGCTCCTGCAGGAAAATCATGCTCTTGCAACAAAAGGAGTCACAGCTGTCCCTGCACAGAGAAAATGAACAACATACAGTTGTTGATTGCATTTTGAATATGGGGGTAGTCAATGGATCTCAAATCTGTGCTTTGCTTTAGGCTTCTGTTAGAGAGAATTCAACACACAGAATAGGTATTTTGTGAGTAACCTCTCTATATACAGAGGGAACAGAGCATTTAGAATTTCCAAGGGCAGTAGAAGAGGATTCAAGAAAAAAATGTAGTCGTTTCACCTTCTTACAAGTGTTAATCTCTTGTCTTCTTCTGGGCTACATTAACAATGTTCTGGCTTTCTATCTAGATTTTTGAGTTCAGAAGTAATTGTAATTGCTTCATTTTTAAAGAGCTAAGTTGTCATTGAACAATCACTTGTTCATTAACATGCTGAACAGTAACACCCACTCCTAACACTGTACCAAGAACTAGTTCTTCACAAGCACTGCTAACCACAGACCATCACACACATCATAGCATGTCAAGCACTGAGCAGATAAGCAAATTTCTGTTAGCCACTGGGAAATATGTAGACTTAATTAGTAATGTTTCCCCTTCATACGTGAGTTTGAGTGAGAGAGCATGACTGCAGCTATTCAGGAACAATGAGCAAACACTGTATACACCAACTTTAGAATTAGCCTAATCCAAACTTCAGAACACACTTAAGATCCCTGGAAAGCTTGTATCTGTAAACTAACCTGAAACAGCATAGACGCAGAGTTTTCGGCAATGCAACACAGCTAGATGAAGTCCTTCAGTACCACTGTAAAAAAAAAAAAAAAGGTTAAAGCACTATTTGCAGATACATACCAAGTAAAATGCATATAAAATTCAAGTAACATTGAAATTACTTTCAGCTGAATCCAAAGGTTTGGGTATTAGATGCTAACATAAAAACTCAGAAGTGCTAATTTTCGTGAATTCATGCTTCAGTATTTGAAGTTAAATTCAAAATTAAAATGAATCCTTCAAGATTTAAGATAATATTTTCAGATTTAAGTATGAAGAGCAAGTCAACTATTTTCCCAGTTTAGACTGAAATTCATTTCAAACACAATGCTGTTAATGTTTCCAAAAACCAAATGGATATGAGAATCATCCCTTCAAACAAGTATTATTCAGTAACCACCTGCACTACTTTTTTAAAAAGAATTCACTTTTGAACCAGCTACAGGGAACCTGAATTCACTGACCCATATGGTAGAAGTCATAGACTTAAAATCCTTTATTTACATACTGCTTCCCCTAAATCTAAATAGTATTTTCTGCAAAGGAAGTTTGTGCTGCAGCTATAAGAAATGTTTTAGATCATTTCACAGGCTAAGGCATCAGAATTCCCATGTAGAGTGCACTCCATGACTTCTTGAATAAAAGAACAATTTCCAACTGATGCAGGCCTTTCAGCTTGTGGTCTTTGGTCTCAGAGCACAAGTACTTCCCATGGTTAGCACAGTTTTACTTTTAAAGGGGATGAACTCTTTTTGTGCTTCTAGGAGAGCATTCTTGGAAAACTTCCAGCACTCACTAGCTCCTTTTCCTCCATGAAACCTTCTTGCGGAATCCCTCCAAAATGAACTCGGGGTGAGCTGAAGTTTGCTGTTCTAAAATCTAAAAACATTTGTCTTAGTACTAACTTTCCACATGCTCAGGAAGAGCACTCCACAATATTGTGAGCCCTAAAGCCCAGGCTATCACTAACTGAGATATTACGAAGGAGGTTTTCTCAGTTTATGGGTAGTAACTCCAGCAGTGTCTCGTTCCTGGTTGGCACATCTAACATTTGCATGAGAAATCAGTACGGGAACTTCGTGGATGACATGTGAGCTGCTGTACTGACAGATGTGTTTAATAGTCATCCATCTGGAAATTGAAAACGCACTCCCCAAAACAAAGAAAGAAAATCACATAAGCCTTAAATAAACATTAACATAGCCTGTTGTTGACTTACGAAACAAATTTTCCCACTTCCACCTGCAATATTGGTTCTCGTAACTGCACTTCCAAGAGCAAGTCTTCAGGTCTTACTCCCTCTTCAGGTTTCACAGGATGTGGATTAAAGATTCTGAGATACCCCATATGACTGCCCACAATAATTTTATCTAAAAAGAAAAGAAAAAAAAAAAAAGGAGACTACAGAACACAATAGCACATGTGGAATTCAATTTCTTACAGAAGTGCTTCAAAGTATACCCAAAAAAGATAACATATTTACATGATTCAATTAACACAGATTATGCTCTGCCTTCTAGGTTAAGATTAGTGATTACCTTTTTTGCAATTCCATGAAAATCTGTCACCAAAGGGTTCACTATGGCAAGTATCATGGTGGTGGCACCGACCACTGTTACTATTCCATCATTTCAGGTCAATGTTCACACTTTTTAAGCTCTGTTCTGGTTTTAGAGAGTAATTCAAATTTTCAGCTTTGCATCTTGGATTTGTGCATACGTATATCATACTAGCAGAAGTGTGAAATTTTAAAATTGGGGCCAATGACATTTATCCAAATGCAAACCAAAGCCAGATAATTATTACATCAGGTCAACAAAGCTAGGCCTTAAGATCACTTGCTCTTGAGACAGATACATCAGCACAAAGAGGAATGCAATAGTTACATCGGAGTTATTTTGGAATCAGTATTTTAAACAAGTCACCATTTGGTCGTTAGTGAATAAAAAAAATTATTAATGCAAAAATTCCAAAGAGGTGCCTCCCTGTATCAAGAATGCCACTCGTCACTGGACTCCATGTGAACATTGAGCAATTGAATGCAACTCTTAAGAGTGCAACCGTGCAGCCAGTTCTTTATTCACCAAGTAGCCCATCTGTCAAATGCATGTATCTTCAATTTAGAGACAAGGATGTCATGCAGGACAGTGTCAAATGTTTTGCACAAGTCCAGATAGATTATATCAGTTGTTCTTCCTTCATCCACCAATGCTGTAGCCCCATGACAGAAGGCCACCAAGTTTGACAGGCATGATTTGCCTTTAGTCAAGCCATGTTGGCTGTTGCCAATAACATCCATATTTTCCTTGTGCCCTAGCACAAGATCTAATCCTTGATCTTGCCAGACACAGAGATGAGAATGACTGGCCTGTAGTTCCCTGGGTCTTCCTTATTTCCCTTTTTAAAAATTGGGGTTAAGTTCCCCCCATTCCAGTGAGTAGGAACTTCACCAGACTGCCACAATTTCTCAAATACAATGGACAGCAGCTTAGCCACTTCATCCACCAGTTCATGCAGGACCCACAGACGCATCTCATTTAGTCCGATGGACCTGTTTATTTTTAGGTTCCTTAGATAGTCTCAAACCTGATCTCCTCTTACAGTGAGAGGTTCTTCTTTCTACCAATCCCTGGCTTTGCCTTCTGTGACTTGGGTGGTGTGGTTGGAGCACTTGCCAGTAAAGACTGAAGCAAAGAAAGCATTGAGTACCTCAGTGTTCTCCATATCCTGGGTAAACAGGTCTCCCATTTGCTTACGAAGAGGGTCCACATTTTCCCTAGTCTTCCTTTTACCACTGATGTACCTATAAAAACTTTTCTTGTTGCCCTTGACATTCCTGGCAAGATTTAATTTTATAAGGTCTTTAGCTTTCCTAACCTGATACCTGGGGGCTTGAGCATTTATTCTCTATTCCTCCCAGGTTACTTGTCCTTGCTTTCATCCTCTATAGGCTTCCTTTTTGCTCTTGAGTTTGTTCAGGAGCTCCTTCCTGCCTGACTTCCTCTTTGTCATTCTCTTTGTATCGCTTCTGAGCTTGGAGGAGATGGTCCTTGAATATAAACCAACAAGCTTTCATGACCCCCTCTTCCCTCCAGGACTTTATCTCATGGTACTCTACTAAGCACATCCCTGAAGAGGCAGAAGTCTGCACTCCTGAAGTCCAGGGTAATGAGCTTGCTGTGTGCCCTCCTCACTGCTCTAAGGATCTTGAACTCCAGCACTTCACAGTCACTGCACCCAAGGCTGCCCTGGAGCTTCACATTGCCCACCAGCCCCTTCTTGCCAGCAAGAACAAGGTCCTCAACATCTCTCCTCACTGGCTCCCTTATCACTTGGAAAAGAAAGTGACCACCAACATATTCCAGGAACCTCCTGGATTGTTCATACCCTGCTGTGTTATCCCTCCAACAGGTTATCAGGGTGGCTGAAGCTTCCATGAATAAAAGGGCTTGGGAAGGTGAGGCTGCTCCTGCCTGTCTACAGAGGCCCTCGTCTGTTTGGTCTTCCTGGTCATGCAGCCTGTAGCAGATCCCCACTTTAACGTCATGTATCCCTGCTCTCCTTTTAACACTGACCCATAAGCCCTTGGTTGGCTCCTCATCCATCCCCAGGCAAAGCTTCATGCATCCCAGCTTGTCACTGACACAGAGGGCAACAGCCCCTCCACATTTACCTTGCCTATCCTTCCATTCCAAACACTCCAGTCATAGGAGCCATCTGAGCAGTCCTAGCTAGAGTGGGGAGGTTCCAGTGGACTGGAGGTTAGCAGATGTGATGCCCATCTACAAGCAGGGCCAGAAAGAGGATCCAGGGAACTGTCAGTCTCACCTCAGTGCCAGGGAAGATTATGAAGCAGATTCTGAGTGCCGTGATGTAGCACATACAGGACAACCAAGTGATCGGGCCCAGTCAGCATGGGCTTATGAAAGGCAGGTCTTACTTGACTAACTTGATCTCCTATGACCAGGCAACCTGTTTAGTGGATGAGGGAAAGGCTGTGGATGTTGTTTACCTGGACTTTAGTAAAACCTTGGACACCATTTCCCACAGCATCCTCCTGGAGAAACCGTCTGCTCATGGCTTGGATGGGCGTACAATTCTCAGAGTGAAAACCTGGCTGGAGGTCATGCCCAAAGAGTGGTGGTGAACGGAGTTAAATCCAGTTTGCAGTCAGTCACAAATGGTGTTCCCCAGGGAATATCCCTCAGCATTGGGGTCAGTTGTATGTAATATCTTTATCGATGATCTGGACAAGGGGATCAAGCACATCCTCAGTAAGTGTGCAGATGGACCAAGTTGATTAGATGATCTCTAAGGTCCTTTCCAACCTAAGCCATTCTATGAAGTTGGGCAGGAGTGCTGATCTGCTTGAGGGTAGGAAGGCTCTAGAGGGATCCAGACAGGCTGGATCAACGGGCTGAGGCCAATTGTATGAGGTTCACCTGACACTTGGCCTTGTTTCTGCCCTTGGGTCACAACACCATGCAATGCTACAGACTTGGGGGAGAGCAGCTGGAGAGCTGTGCAGCAGAGAAGGATCCGGAGGTGTTGGCTGACAGCTGCTGGAACGCGAGCCAGCAGTGTGCCTAGATGGCCAGAAGGCAAACGGCATCATGGCCTGTATCAGGAATAGTGTGGCCAGCAGGAGTAGGGAAGTGATGATACTCATGTACTCGGCATTGGTAAGGCTGCATCTTGAATTCTGTGTTCAGTTTGGGGCCCCTCACTACAGGAAAGACATGGAGGTCCTGGAACTTGTCCAAAGAAGGGCAACAAAACTGGTGAAGGGTCTAGAGCGCAAGTCTTATAAGGAGTGGCTGAGGGAACTGGGGTTGTTTAGTCTGGCAAGAGGAGGCTGAGCAGAGACCTTATCACTCTCCACACTATGGGAATGGAGGTTGTAGTGAGGTGAGTGTTGGTCTCTTCTCCCAAGTAACAAGCAATACGACAAGAGGAAATGGCCTCAAGTTGCACCAGGGCAGGTTTAGACTGGATATTAGGAAAAATGTCTTCACCAAAAGGATTGTTAGGCACTGGAACAGGCTGCCCAGGGAAGTGGATAAGTTACCATCCCTGAAGGTATTCAGAAGATGTGTAGACACAGCACTTAGAGACATCGTTTGTTGGTGGACTTGGCAATGCTAGGTTAATGGTTGGACTCAATGATCTTAAACATCTTTTCTAACCTAAATGATTCTGCGAATTTCTACTGAAAAAGGTTGTACACCAAGCCAGCAACAGCTCAACTTTGTTCAAATCCTCCTGAAAAGGGTCAATCTAAAATAAAAATATTTTTTAAAGAGTATGACACCAATGAAATCAGTCTCAAGTACATCTATGGAGCAAGAACAAAGCTCCAAGATGAGCATGAGTGTATCAGAGAAAAATCCCAAATATTTCATCTAACATACACACACGAGAACTCTCCCCAATAGTGAAGATCATTCCATGCTATTAATGACTACATAGAAAAGCAAGTTTTACTCAAGCAGAGCCACTTATTTCAATAGCCCCTTATCTTCCAGGCAGAAAAGGCTGTTAGTTTTTCTAAATTCTTAGTTTATTAGCTCCTATTTTCCTCTTTTATTTTATTCAAGTTTTTTCAACAATTTATGATGTGCTTTTGCTCTCATGATTAACTGATAGCATTCTACTTTAAAGATTCTACCACTAAGTGAATAAGACATGAGAGAAACTACTATTAAATACAGCCAAGAATCAAGACATTTAGAAAACTACAAATATACAAAGACAAAAGGCATTGAAATTGTCTTCTTAAACTTACAAGTATACATTAAAGATAGCAGGCTTTACACTAAGCAGCCTGGCTACCAAGCTTTCAGTATATGTGGGTCAAAACAAAGTCACAGTTGTGTAGCTTAAAAGTGAGCAACTATGCAGTTCTGAATTTACCTTGTCCACTGCCACTATTATCAACATTGGCAACACACAGACAGCCTTGGTCAAATTCTTCCTTTTCTCCAAGTATGGTGGACCACCAGTCTCTAGCTTTAAACAACGACATTCTTCTTTACTGAAAAGGAAACAAACCATTGTACATATATTAATATACACTTTAGCAAATGTTTATACAAACAACTTTGTTAGCAACAGCTTTTACTAAGTACATTCCATCTGTCAGTTTCACATTGCTCTAGGGTTATAAAAAAGAAAAGCTAATAAAAGTGAATAAAATTGCAGGTGTCTTGGATTTCTGGTTATTTAGTTCAGAAAACAGCCTTAGGAAACTTCTTGTCATTAGCTTACAGATTAGTTGTGATAGATACTGCTAGTTATATGAAGAAAAAGCAAAAAAATCAGCTTTTTTAAAATTCATTAAAAGCCTTCTACAACAAGCATCAAGAAAGTTTTCAAAGTCACAGAACTGAGGTTTTCTCTCTTACCAAGGAGTATCATTAAAAAAAAAAAAAAAGATTCTGATGCAAGTCTTCTGCAAGAGAACTTTTTTGAAAAGTAAATGAAGACATAAACAGATAACATCAAAACCTCCACCTAGTAATGGCCTTGAAGATGCCCTAGTGACATGACTAAAGAACTCGGTCAGATAGGGCTCAAATCAGCTTTTCTGCTCCCTACCTGCTGCTATTTTAAGAAAGGGGCAGGGGAGGGGAGGGGCCTGAGAAGAGACTTAATCCTTTTTGCTGGCAGCTTGACAATGACATAACCCCAGCTCAAAACCCACAGCTCCCCGCCTATGCTCTGCCCTGAGGGGCACAAACTCGAACACGCTCGACCCCCACCCCGCGCCCGCTGCGGAGGTGAGAGGCAGCCGGGCAGAGCCAGCTTCGGCGGCTCCTGCTGGGAAAAACGACGGGCTCACCCCTTCTGTTCTTTCGGAGCAAACGCAGCCCGTGAGCCCACGCCTCTCCTTTTTAAAGGAAGACCAAAACACTTATTTAGGTCCTTT